GTGAAAATAGAACCTAAAATTTGTATTCACTTTGTTTACTTCAAGTAACATTTTTTCTCTCCACAAAAAAAGAAACATAAAATCGAGTGGAAATGCAATGGAGAATAACAGCTTCTACATAAAACACACAAATAAAACAAATTTACTGAGAAGCACACTTCAACCCAATTTTGCACAGGCTCAGTATCTAAATTATAGAATGTCTCCCTGCTCCCTTTTTGACTGGTTCCAACTATTTTTAAGAATTCTCCTCGTATTATTACACAGAAACGTCCAAGCATCTGCGCTCCTGAAGATCCCAAGGAAGTAAAGCGTTATCTGTGAAAGACGCTTTTGTACATTCGCCATATGGTCGTTGCTTATTCCAAAACATGATAAAAGCACAGTGACTCACCTGGAAAAAAATCGCTGCATATCCAGGAAATTCTCTTACTTCAAGTTTCTTAATTCTTCTTTCTCATCCTGTACAATCCAGTTCTATTGTTGTGGCCAAGATACTTTAGATTTGTGACCTAATACTAACAGAGCATATCCTGCAATTTGTAAAATCTACAGAAATCTTCTAATGTGGTATTACTGTCTGTGGATAGCAATTCTTGCAATTGTTAGAAAAGTTTCATGTTTGCAACCATGTAAAGGGTCTTCGAGATAGAAAACTGTTCTACATTGTAGTTTATAAGGCATAAAACAAAATGAGATCTTCGTTCTGAGACACAGTCAAATAAAGAATGAGCACATTCACCTTTAAACAGTAAGCAGCAGGAGAGGGGGGAGGGAAGGATGGAGGGAGGGAGAGAGGGAGAGAGGGAGAGAGAAAGAGGAAGACAGACAGACATAAAGACTCTGGGAGCTTCTAGGGGCAGAACCCTGTGTTGTCCAAAACCCCAAGCACAGTCATGCTTGAAAGCGTTCGTAGCAGAAATTTCATTCGTGGCCCGAGGGACCTGGGGCTGCTTTCCTGGAACACTCCCGGTGGAAGAGGAAAACTGGGCATATTCATTCCTTCCTGTCTTGAGGTGACCTTTTAAAGATTTCAACAAAAATATCCTTTTCACAGAAAAGTGAAAAGCATCATATTCTTCTTTCCTCCTTTCTTTAAATATACAAGAAAGACTAAAATAGATTAGAAAAAGAAAATATCAACCCAACTGGTATAGCTTATGGAAGATTAATAAACCAGATTCATTCTGCTGACAGAGGGAATGTGTAGAGTTATAAATGTTTTATAAACAAAATGGTATTTCTCAGGGTCATATACTCATTAAAATCCCACCAATAAAAATGTGTTCATGGAAAAATAGAGATATTTTGAATACTAAAGTCCTTTATTCAACAACACAGAAATTTCACAAAAACAACTTTACTGGGCAAATTGAATGTGGGGTGTGTTTTTTTTTTAGATTTTTTTTTAAGTTTTTTTTTTTTTACAATTTTGTACATGCCCCATAAGTGATTTTCTTTAATAAATACACTGTTTTCCAAAACTGCTCCCCCCCCTTTTTTTTTTTAAATAATTGCACAAGCATACATACACCTTACACAAGTTCTATTAGGAAGTGGGTAGAGAAGGCGGACTTGGTGGGGGGGTCCGAGCCCACGCCCCTGAGTCGCTTGGCTTCCCTGCGCTGTGGACATGAACTCCCTCCTCACACTGCCGCTGCCTCGACTCTCTAGGAACACAGAGCTCAGTGTGAAGCTGCCAAATTTAATAAAAACAAAATCGGAAACATTTAGCTGTTCCACGGGCACCGACTGTTTGATATCACTGTGAATCTAACCAAGATCAAAGGCCCACCACGGCTTTCTGCGGAGCCCATCTGACCCTCCAAGAGAGCGTTCACTTAACCGCTTTGCTTCTCCCATTATTTGATTACAGATACCATCAGCAAAAGGCTCGCGCCGCTTCCATATTAATTGTACAACGTAAAGGCCAGGGGTTGTGGGCGGAAGGGGACGTTCCTCCTTCTCGGGGCTGATTAACGGATTCCTCTCAGTCTCTATGTCACGCTCCCTATGGGGGGGGGTCTGGAAGGAAGGTAGAGGGGTTGGGGGCAGCCAGCGAGAGACACTTTCATACCTTCACGGGTTGGGGGGCGGGGACAGGGCCACTCTTGGTATTCTCTTTTCCAAGGACAGATGTGCGTGTACTTGCAAAGGGGCCTCCACCAGCACCCAGGCAGTGAACCCACCGGAAAGCCACTTTAGTGGAGGGCTGGGAAGAGGGAGGTCTCTATCGTGATGCTCCTGGGTTCGCAGGGTGCCCCCGGCAGCTGACAAGGAAGTGGGTCATGGCACGGGGCACTCCGCTACCCACGTACTGCCCACGCTCCTGGAACTGCATCCACCGGGACAAGGCTGTGCCTGAGCGGCCTCCCTAGACACTTGGTATGTGACATGTGCGTGGGTGCTCCCTATGCCTCTCCTCTGCACAGAGGTCTCTATTCGGGTCCCTCCACCTGCCCTGGATGTAACAGGAAACATGCATGAAAACCACCTTTCATTGGCATTTTGGATTCATGAAAAAATGTAAACGTTTATAGCCCTCCCTTTGGGTCTCAGTGAGAGGCTTGACGCGTCCTGGGGCCCTAGGAGGAGACGCCCCCTTGGCGGAACAGAGAATCTCCTGCCTCAGGGCCACCAATGAGAACTTCACGAGCATTCAACATGACAGAAATAGTTTTACCCAAAACGTTAAAAAAAAGGGGGGGGGGGTGATATAAAAGAACAACAGTGAGAATAAAAAACATTTAAGATAATTAAAGAAAAGCTACACTTTCCCATTTTGGTAATCAACAGATTTTTCTTTCATTAAGAAATTGAACTGACATGTAAAACACCACATTTTACAGTATACAGATTCATCAGTTGTTTAAGAAAACAAACATACAAAACACATCGAGACATGCAATTGTCTTAGGCCTTTGCCTCAGTTCATCACTCTGACATGGGGGCACCTTCTCGTTCATTCAGTGTAGCCTTACTAGAACTCGTTTCATTTTGTAATTGGTTTCCAAAAACCAAGGCAACCTCCCCTTTGGACGATAAAGGTAAGTCGTCTCTTTCTGTGAATAATCAGCAAATCGGTTTCAATAATAAGCAAAATGAAGATGGAATAAGAAAGAACTTACATAGCTCTCATTGGCCCCACGGCAGAAACAGAAACTCTAACTAGAAACCCTCCAAGACACATACATCAAGGAGAAAGCGATTCCGAAATGAACGTGCAGGGCATTGCAGCGCGTGGTCACTGCATTCTCTCCCCTAGTGGCCAGTGTAAGCCTCTCGGCCCTAACTGTGGACCTCGGCCTCCCGCTTTGCTAGGCTGGTCAAGTCACACCTTTTCCTGGCTGTGGCCAGTACCTGGGCCCCTCCCGCGAGCACAACCCTCCTGGATGTGAAGGACACCTCCTGCTTTCCCGCTCAAAGGAAATCCCCTCTGCCATCTCTTCCCGTTCAAAACTCTGACTAAGCTTGTCCTCTGACTGCACTGCCGGGCTTCCTAAACTATACCGTCCTTTTCACCGTCCTCTCCTTCTCTCTTTGAGTTGTTTTCCTTTGCACGAGCCAGTTTGCTAACATCTTTTCAGCGGGTTAATGGATGTCACAGGCTAAGATAACTGGCTACTGGATCCAGAACCAAACGCTGTGTCCTGTGGCGACTGATACTCTAGGTTTTTCTGCTAAATTCTGTTTTACTCCTGAAGCTGGAAACAGTATTTGCAATCTGGCCAACATATGTTCTTGAGTACCTTGTCATCACAGGTCATATCTGTACTAATGGGACATCCTCAGGGGCCAAGGCTGTCCTGAGCAAACCAAATCCCAAATCCGGCGTGATGGCCAGTACAGGCCTGATGTAATGTGAGCACCCAAGAGGGGCTTTGTACTCGCCTGCAGCCCCGCTCTGGGGAATGAGGCATCCAGGCAACAGCAACGGCCCTGGGAGTGATGGAACGGTCCATCCTGGAGGCTTCGAGAAGCAGATGAGTCTCACGCGAATGTGGAGAATTATCTTCCGATACCTAGCCAGACCTCAATGCTTGAGGCTCTGATGTAGTCAAGCTTTGAAACAAAACTACCCGTTTAACAATTTAACATCATACATGGAACTAAACCACTTGGAAATGTTTTATTAAGTTGCTGTTTTCCTACAAAAAAAAAAGCAAAACATAAAAAAAATTACATATAGCCCATGATGGGCTGGGGGATAAAAGTTAGGCATGACTTTCTCCTGCTAAAATAGGATACTTTATTCTGTATACTAGAAAACACTTTTAAAAAAAATGTATACAACTGATTCTGCATCTTCCAACTACCCCGCGTACTCCGCCTGACAGTGCAACTCAAGACAAGTCAACTACACTAAGTTTTCGGGAGGTACACCCTCTGTACAGCTCATTTGTAAGCAATGCAAGTGCATAACCACTACTCTAATACAGTGCTCAAAAGATCAAGTGAAACGTTCATCGCATCGTCCCTCTTGGAACCAGATGACAGGGGTATGGTTCGACACACGCTCGTTTCTGAGTCTCCTACTCCTTGGCACCAAGTCCCAGGGGAAGCTGCATGGCCCACGTGCCAGAAACAGCTGGCTGAGAAGAGTTAAAGCTAATATTTATTGCTCCAGGTTTAACTCGCAGAACCACTGTTGTGTACAAACTGTTAATCTCCATAGATGCTCAGACGTGATTGTCTCCTTGTGTCTAAACACAGAAAATACAAGCCGCTATCTGTACAGTTTACAGTACTGAAACACATATATTTGAAGATGAAGTATAGATATGTACTTTGCAAAGATACAGGATTTTACAGCAGGGGTTTACCCAAACTTATTTTTTACAGTCACTTGCAAAATAGACAACAACTTCACTAGGATAGCTAAATTACATCAAAGAAAGAACCAGAGAATCGAAAGGAAACAGCGGGGCGGTTCCCCAAGCTCCCAGATGAATTTTATGTCTTTTTTTTTCTTTTCTTTTCCTTTCCTTTCCTTTTATTTATTTATTTTTTTGAAGAAACCCCTATACATAAAATGAAAATAATATCTGGATATTTTCTTCAGTGGTGACTAAGCAGTTTCTTAAAACAAGACATTAGTACGCTCTCACTTCCAAATGCCTTGCAAATAAGATCTACTACTCTCTGCTTTAGCTTTAAAAGAACCACCGGAATGCTTCGGCGCTGGGAACAGGTGTTCTCTATAAAAAAAGAGCAAAAAACAAGGTAAGCTTTCTTTCCACACCAAGGTCAAATCAGATTTCTCTCCTGTACACGTCAGCAATATATTTTTAACAGTAATCCACAACATAGTGGCTGGTACATTTCAATATTTAATCAAAAAAAAGCTTCAACATTAGAAAAATTAGAATATTGCAACCCTTGCTAGTTTACGGAATATAATTATTAGAACACTTTGAACAACAACAAAAATACAGGAAGTACAGCCTGGAATGGACACAGCAATCAGAATCAAGGGAAGGTTCAACCTAACACCCGTGTAAGAGGGCCAGGCAACTCCAACGCTCTGCGCCACACGTCTATATGCACTCTGCACAGGTCGACTGAGGCCTTCATTCTGGGAAGTACCTATTAGGGAAGGCCAACAGAATGTACTGCAGCAATGTGACCTCTATCAATCCTCAATTGCCTGCCACACATATTCTACATACACTCTGGTGAGAATCCTACTACTGAACAAAACTGAGTATTGTTCTAAAGTCTGCATTTCCTGCAAATTAGTGTCATACCTGAGACAAACTGACAGAAGCCACTGATGCTCAGTGCAATCGAAATCTCCTTCTCCCATAAACATACTCCCCCCGCCCCCAAGGAGTACTAAGCAAGCACCACGTGTACAAGCGGTTCTTTCAACAAGATGTTTACGGTCACTGTGAGATTTTTTTGTTAGATAAGAGTCACACTATTTTTTTTCTTCCTTAAAAATAATTTTTTGTTTTGTTTCTTGGACCACAGCTGGCAACGTTCAGGAGATACTCCCAGACTTATGCTCGGGAACAGCAGAGCCGGGGGACCACGGGGTATTAGGGAACAAGGACGGAAAGCACGCTGCCCACTGAGCTCTGCTGCCCACTGAACTCGTGCTCCAGGACAGGTAAGGTACGGGGTCTTCTGTGACTTCGCATCCTAGCAAGACGCCATGCCCACTCCCTTATAAGCCTGCAGCACAGGGATACACGCTGAAGGAATGCAAGAAAAAAAAAACCAGACATACTCTCTGGTAGTGGGAAATGAAAAAGCATTCATTTTGCTCTTTATATCCATCCAACTGACCTGTGCAGAATGTAAGATGGGGGCTAAGGATAAATGAGTAAATATATTGGTATGCTGAGTGTTATCAGACTATCAAGAAAGGACAGAGAACACTTCCTCACGCCTCCACACATATACACACATTATAAACAAACTAAGACAATTAGCAGCACTTGGATTTCACATTTCAGAAAACACATGAAAAATTCTACTATCAACACTATTAGCTTTTTAGCGGTCAGCTTTTATTAATTTTCTCATACATGATGTATTTGGTTAACACAGTCCTACTGTGGTTAATGTCATGTAAAAATAAAAGTGCTTCAATTAAGACATCCATTGCAATTTAAATGGGAAAAAAAAAAACGAACTACTTGTCCACTATCCACACTAAGAATTTTTAGAAAAATTTCTTCACCTTCAACACAATGAAACCTAAAATGAAGACGTTAAACTCAATATATTACTACAATTTATCTAATCAAGTTTGCAATTTATATACATATAAACACAAATATTTAACTTGGGAAATATTTCCTACAAGTACAAACAAAAGATGCACCATTCCCCGAATTCCGAGTCAGTATTCCGCACCCCCTTCCTTGGCTGGCTCTCTGCCTCCCTCCGGCTCCCCACACTGGCCCACATCCCCAGCACTGAATCTGCGGGGTGAGAAATACCCTTCACCACTTTCTAAAATTAACTTTGGAATGATAAGCCTCACAATGATATATGTTCGTTCCAATTATTTAATCACTAAAGGAACCATATGAATTAATATGAAACACAACAAGATTGTTCTAATATTCATACTTTACACACACACATGCAGGAAATGAAAACTTAAGACGTTTATACCAGCTGCTAACTCGCCGTCTGATGCCAACTGAGAGTACATTTTATATAAGTGTGCATACTTATATAAATGTAGTCATTTTTAACAAGATACATTTGATCCAAGTATATTCATGCAATTACAGATTCACATACGAGAAATAAACATGTGCATATATCGTCACATATACTCACATTTCCATGTATAGTAGAGACAGAAAGATGCCAACTAACCCGTAGATGCCAACTGGAACAAGGCTGGAAGCAGACCCTAATATAATCATGTATCTTGATAAACATGTGTGTTTATGAAGATAAACAGACACTCCATGGCGTGCATGTTTGAAATGACACGATTCCTTATGTCTTGGCCTCACGCTACAATCCCCAGAGCCCTCCCCCAGTGAGGGTTAGACACCAGCAGCTTCCGGACCTGCTGCCTGAAGCCAAAGGGCATGGTTGGGAAACAAGTTTCTTGGAGCTGGTAAGCTCGGAGCATTGATTCAACGACGCAGGTGCCAGGCCCTGGGCTGGCTTCCCGTGCTCTCGGCCACGTCCGCAGACTCCGACACTAGTGTGGGTGCCCACGCAAGAGCGCCGGGAGGGCCAGCCATAGGCTGGGAACCATCTTTTGAACAATTATTTGAGATCGTGAAGCCCAAAGTGATTAGATTTTAGGGATCAGGCAGCCATGGCCCAGGCTTTGAGCTCTGTGGGGTGGAGTCCCCATGACACTTGCCATGCGGGTGTGGGCAGACAGGTAGTGGCCCCCTCAAGCCCCCCTGGAGGCCGGCCCCCAGGCCTGGCTGGATTCTCTTCAGCCAAGCGGGTGACGCTTCGCTGTTGTCCCAGGTAAGATGCTTGCCTGTTCAGGCTTTGGGGAAGTCTGTGTTAATTTGAGGACAGACCTTCTCTCAACCTGCCCACTGCTGAGGCCGTGGCATTGAGAGGGGGCAGGGCTGAGGATCCACCCACTGGGGATTCCACCCCGACCTGCTCCCTCCGGGTGAGAGAGGCACAGCATCCCAGCTGGAGAATCACTCTTGATGAGATTGCAGTGACTTTCTGCATCTCTGTGCTCCTTGCAGGAAATCGTTATCCTGAGTGACAGGACCGCCACCATCCCCAGGGGGTGGGGGCGGGGAGGCACAGACCATGCTGCTGGCATTGTTTCAGGGCTCCTGCAGGTGCCACACTGACAGACACAGTCAGCTGTGCTCCCCGGGGCCAGGAGGAAGCCTGGGCCTCTCCTGGCCACAAAAGACCCCCCCCCCCACACACACACACACGCCCTCTGGACCCCAGCCAGATCCCAAACCACGTTCATGCTAGGAGAGATGCCTACACTTCTCTCTCAGGTAACTTCAAAAGCAGTTACTGCCTTAACTAAAAGGGCGACATGATCCATGCCAAAAGGGATCTTGCATTTAAATGAACAAAAAAAAAAGCAAAAATCTCAATTTATGATTTATGTGGAGGAAATATATTTGCTTGATCTTTGCTAAATCAACAACAAAAAATAATTAAACAACCAAAAATAAATAAGAATCCCTAAAACTGCCCTCCTAAGAATTGGAGCGTGGTTCCTTTCTTTGGGGACCTGCTAAAGGTGTTACCCTGGGGAGAATCGGCACCAAAGTATTTGTGAGAGGCTAAGGTCAAAAGCTGAGAATGGGGTTCTAGAGTTATGCCTATGAGTATGGATGGGGTTGGCGGATCACTAAGCAAAACTAATCACTCTGAGAGCTAGCTAAGAGTTCTCAAAGAGCAAACATAGCTCTGGCACTGAAATTAACTTCAGAATGTCCAACACTATACACTAGGATAATGACAATGATTATGACATTAGCAACTCTATACCTCAAGTTAAGGAGTTTTCATATATGCTTTTGGAGGCCTGGATCCCTGGGATTCACAGGGACCCTCGCAATCCGGCTGTGTGACCGAGCCTCTGAGACCACCATTCTTTCTACACCAATCAAAACACAACTTCTCGTTTTCCCGTATCTTCTAAAGGAACTCGAATCCATCCTCACGCCAAGAGAGACGAGACACATGCACAGTCCAGCCTGCCCCCCGCCCCAGGCCCCTGCTCTCAGAGTCGGACCTTACAACTGAACCCCAAGTGGCCTCCTGAGCCAGCCGTAAGCCCCTCCCCCTGAGCTGCTCTGTCCCACCACAGCTAAGCTCTGCAGTAGGCACATGGGGGCACGTACTTGGAAGATGACCAAGGGCCACAGTGCTTGCCTGTGATATTTGATCACGTTTTTGTTTTGACATCATCTGAAACTTTCACCCTGTGGGATGATTTGGATGAACACAGTGAAAAGGGGTTCTGACGGTGAGGAAAACCCTATCGTTTTGTCCTGATCTGATTCACAGCGCATGCAAAAATATCAAGTGATGTAGGCTCGCACACTTTTTACTGACAAAATTTCAAAGTCTACTGTACCCACGTCATGTACCCACATAAGACATGAAAAGGGATATTTACAATATTTTAAATTTGAGTACACACTTACAAATTAATACAATTCTTTGGATATTATGGTCTAAAGTGATACCTAGCAAACATTAGACCCTTCCCAAAACATTTTCAGCAGAAATATTTTATACCCTATTTAAAAATAATATTTTATGATAAAAATAGTCCAGTAACTATAAAATAATCATTAGCAAGCACAGATATAGTACTGGTCAGTACGTTGGAGGAATAACTTCTATAAATGATCATCTGAAGTCTAATAGTTTACTGTTATAATAAAAACTTTTAATTCTGCAATTAAAAATATGCATTCATATAAGTATATACTGTTTCTACTTTTTAAATTACATATACCTTACTTTTTTGTCTCATTATAACATATATGTATCATATGATATATAGCAGATTCATTCCTTCTCATGATTCAGATTTATTCATCATATGACTATACAGCTCTTTGGCATACTGACGTCTTCTTAGCTGCTTGTTTGGGCCATTGCCCAAGTGGGTCCCTAGGCACCGCCCACTACCCCCTCTGGCTGGAACATCAGAGCCTTTGAGAAGGTTCTGGGAGCGTCTCACCTCATGGGTCTCCACGCTGCCCTTGGT